TTCATGGCTACCAGTTAATCACGAAGCGTACCTAGCCTCGGAGTGTACTGCAGTCTGGCCAGGGGTTCGCCTTGGTGTGCTCAGTCATTGTGGATGCTCTGGACACTTGCTTGCAGGGCAAAGTTTCGGGAAGTCGGCAATTTAGGGTTACCTTTGAACAATACAACCCGGAAGCCCAGACATTGGAAGGTCTTGAGGCTGAGGCGGGTGATCCGACGAAGGGTTTAGCACCAAGAACTGCACAGTCTGAAAACCTGGCTGATGCAGGGTTTGGTGTGCCTTCCGTGAGAAGAGCATCATGATCAGCTTTCAATGGGGGTATATTTTTCGAGAGAGGTTGCGGTGGTGCATTAATGGGGTTGAGGGTTTAGCAGGGCTCAGGCTGTTGTGGCTTCTCCGCGGAAGATTGCGCTCGAAAGGGAAGTGCGTCCATGCCACGCCCTTCGTAGCATCCTTCAACCGTGTATCTGACATGCACGATGCCGGAACAAAGGACCTAACCGTTTGCAATTGCTTGTCGTTCTCGTTCCCACCCAACCCCAGGAGGCTCTACAAGATGTAGACAGATCTAGCGTTCTCAGGCTTTTACCAGCAGAAGCATCAATAGCCGAAGAATCGGTTCAACACATGATCATGAATGTCGAGGTTTCAAAGCCCAAAGAGCCGGATCCTCGTATCCCTCTACTTTTGAATCTCCATGGGGTTCTCAAATTTACTGACGACTCATTCCTGATTTCCCCGACAAAAACTTCACTATACTTGATCAGACATCTCCTCTAGTTTCTATAGTGAACCCCAGAAAGTTGGAACATCGTTTTAGGATGATTCGTGCTGGGATTCCCTTTACTTTACTCTAAGGGCATGAGGCTGCTGATATTCCAACTTTCTGGCTTCTACCGTACGGCAAGGTGACCCCGGACTCTGCCAGAGTGCTGGCCCAGACCAAGTATTGCAACAAGGCGTGGCAGCCCCGGGCTCTGGGGCAGTAGAGGGTACTAACTGTGTTAGATGGCATCTAGTCGGATTCTGTTTGGTGGTTCAGTGGTTTTATACGGGCTGTACAGGAGCTGTGCAGAGCTTTGGTTTTGCTTCTGGGCCTGGACCAGCCCGACAGCTTCATCATCCATGATACTGTCTGGCCCAGCTGTCCGAAATAAACGCGTGTTTTTGTCGCAGATTCGCTCAGACTGGAGCCAGAGCAATAGGAGTAGTCACCGAAGCATGAATCATTCTGATAAAGTTCTTGTCAATCAAAGTGTAAATGTACGACTTGTTTAACATCCTGGGCTCCTTTGTCCACGCCATCCAGGCTCAAAGTCAGGTGCATTTAGACATCGCACGCCTATCTTCAGTGGCTTGTGAGCTGTCCAAAGCCTCAGTCCAGATGCTTGATCCCAAGACCCGTGGTCATGGCAAGTCGTGCACAGGTTGTCAGCGCTGATCGGTTCCTTGATTGGCGGCGTTTCTGTTCGTAGGTCCTTCTTTTGAGAGTGAGGCTCGGGATCTGAACGCACTCAACCCATTCCGGACCTTGCCGTTTGGCCAGGAGGGCAACTACAGCAAGGCTGTCAATGCCGTCAAGTGGAGAGTGCCGAAGGTGCAGGGTTGTGTAAAAGTTCTTAATTGCATATTTTGTTTACAGTATGTAATTGATATTGCATAGCACACTACATTGTGGCTATTGGTATAAATGTGTACATGTGTATGTGTATATGTATGTAGACATGTTACATACTATAGATTCATTAAGCATAACCACGAATAATAGCCAAATTCAGAGCAAGCGCTGTGCATAGATAGAGATGTTGCACTTGTATGTAGTACTAGCTTATGTTGCATTGAAGTAATACTACCTTGTCTTGTCTTGTCTTATCTTACCTTGTCTGTTCTTCCCATATATTACCTCATACTACGATACATTACAGCGTATCATATATACATATATATATATATATATATGTTTTTTATATTATATCGCATCATGCTATTATGATATACTTACTGTCTCTAAGCCGTACAGCCTGGCAATCCTGCCACCTTTATTAGTCGTGCTTTGTTGTGTATGGGTCCCCTGCGTACAGAAAATCAGTTTGTCGGCCGCAGGGTATGTTGGAAAGGTCTGGTGGTTCAGGGTTTAGGGTTTCAGGGCTTAGGGTTTCAGGGTTTAGGGCTTCAGGGTTTTAGGATTTCAGGGCTTGGGGTTTAGGGGCTTGGGTTTCAGGATCTGCAGATCCTTGAGTTAGAATCCGGCTAATTAGCCCTTTGCAGCCGCAGTGGGTGAGGAGCGTGGTGAAATTCGTAGAACAGAGGTTGAGTAGGTTTCGCTTGCTGCATCTGAGTTCAGCAATCTAGCAGAAGGTTCAGGGTTGAGGGTTGTAGTTTAGAAGTTACGCCAACTCTTGCAGAATGCTGCTGGCGTACTAACCCGGCCCCCTCCTCGCTCAATCCTTCTGCCTCTTTATCTCTATCTCCCTCTTCTGTCTCTGTCCTCACTCCGCCTTGCTCTCTCTCGTGCTCTCTCACTCACTCTCTCTCTGTCTGTCTATCTCTGTCTCTCTCTTCCGTTTAGAATGCTGGGTGCCAACACAATCGCCCGGGCGGTTCAAGGTCGCGGATTCGAAAAGGTGAGATGTCCAATGTGGACCGGATGTTCTTTGCTTTCCTCTGCCGCTCACTTCCACCCGAACCCTTCATTTGTCATGCCCGGAGCAGGACATTGCCAAGTGCTGCAGGGCCGCAATTGGGAGGTTGGATTCCTCCGAACAGCGACGCATCCAACCCCTTGATCCCAAACCCAAAGAACTTCTCCGAACCTGTAAACTGGCTCGGCGTTGCATCGGTGCTCAGACGAGGTGTCTAGGAACATAAACACCGTCCCATTGGCAACTTCTAGAGTTGACTGTTTAGCCAAATCGTCAAAGTAAAAATCATCAGTCTCCACATTGTCTCGCTTTGGTCCACTATACTTTTGCCATCAGTCGCATGAAAAGATGACAATTCAGTGCTGGGGCAAAAAAAGAAAAACTATCTGTGGATGCACGAGTCCGCGGGATGCTTTGAACGATATGGCCGAGAATCGGAACGAGCCTGAATTGAATTTGCGATTGGTGCTGCTTTGCATAGGTCTCGGAGTCATATTGAAAGGGCCTAGCAAGTATCAAACAACTCTGAAGTATCCTGTTTTGATATATCACACATAGACGATTAATTTGCAAAGGGTTCGACGATGTTCGAAGTACATGAACCCACATGCGCGGTCTTCAAGCCCGAGTAAGAGTGCAACAACCACCACTAGATGTTGGCATGATGTTGGCAGTAGTCACTCAGTAGTGTCATAGTTTTGGTCCAATGGCTAATCATCAAGTATTTCGAGCCGCCACTTGAACGCTAAATCTAGCGGAATCATGTCAAGGTAACTGTACTTTCAGTAAAAAGCACGCAAACAGACATTTTTCAGAAATTGTCAGGGTATGGCAGCTTGGCCGTTTGGCGAAGTTCGACCACAGTTGTGAGCGTAATAGCTCAGCAGACCATCTTGGGGCCAACCCTCTAACTCTGGACTTTCGCGGGCCACTACAGCTACCATGAACAACCGATGCTGCTTGAGTGCGGCACATGAAGACTACTGGAAGTTTCGCTGTGTAGTGGATTTCAGAACGAAATATTCGCCCTGATGCCGCTCATAAGACTTGTTTCCACATGTTGCGCTTCAATGTCACGCGGACCACGGACGTTATGAAGCGTAATGCGTACTTTGACCTTGAAGTTACATGTGCAGTTGTGGTCCATGGACCCCCTGGGTTACTTCTGCCGACACAAGGTATGGCCTTGTTCGTCGAAGTGCTGGAAGCCTTGATCGAGGGCATGTACTGGCAGGCAGTGGCAAGCACGATCTACCATAGGCGCCTTAATCATTGGAGTAGGGTTTTGGGGCCCATTATACTATAACTATAATAAGAAACCACCAGTATACATAACTATTTAGGCCATTACAGTAGGGTGCGAGGATGGTTCAGACAAGACTTGAAAGTGCAGTTGCCTCTTGGGCTGACTTGCTGCGGGAATCACAAAGATGCAGCGCAACCGAATTTCCTCCAGCTACGAGTGGACTCGAGCTGCAAAAGGTTTGTGCTGTGGTTTGAACCCCGTCCAGAGCGAAGAAGTGATAGCCACGTTTTCTTAGATCCCCAATACTACCCAACCTTGAAACGTTTTGGCTTCTTGTAGGTAAGTAGGAATCGGAAAGTTTAACCTTTCATTTGTGTGTCTTGTTGGGGAAGTAAACCTTTACAGGCCGCATTGGAGTCCTCCGATGCACCCCCGAGAGATGGCCCAAGAAGTGCGACCCATGCAAGTTTGGCGTAGCAATTGCGGGAGGTAAGCAAGAGTCATGCCTGAGAATGGTGTAGATAGTGTTCCCAGATGGTCCATATACACTACCTGGTAGTGTATATGGTAGTGACTACCATTATGGAATTAGGCCCCCGAAACGATAATAGGGATGGTCTTTTGGCACTTAGTTCCATATAGGTAGTGTATATGGACCCTCTGGGGTTAGTAGTAAAACGGAGTCGCACAAGAGGAGACGTTGGTGCAGCCGTCCAGTCGCTTCACCTGCACAAAGGTCGCCGTTGTGAGTACCTGTGGGTCCTCTTTAATCGGGAATTCCTCATGTCAAAACAATTGGAACACTATTTTTTAAAGCCACCTTTATAGCAAAACGAAGACAGTAGACTCCAATTTTCGGTGTCCGTTCAGCTAGGGGATTCTCGCCATTGACAATCGAAGTTCTGAAATTTGTTTTTTGGCTTTGGCAGTGTGTAAAGATGTACTTACGGCCGTGTAGAGGTGCGGTTAGTTTGGGGTCCAAAGCAGCAACAACAACTTGGCCTTGCATATAACGAGCACTGCAGAAGCGCTCAGAAAGAGAGGCCGCTCTGAGCGTGTACCTCTTTGGGGTGTAAGGGTGCCACAGTCTCTGGAACCCGGCACGCGGTCCCATGGCGCAATGCTTCGTCCCAGGCTATTTGGATCCTTTCCTGCAGAACCAAGTCGTCAACGTCACCGGCTGCTGGCGCCAGACGTGCCCCATGTGAAAGTCGAGGATTTCGATTTGAGACGATTGGGGAAGCATTAAGATTAGGGCGGACTGTAGATCTGCCACCTTGCAGGAAAGTTGCTAGTTGTTTGGGGTAGTTCTTCATACTTCCCAATACTTTGTCCCACAGCACTGGCCCAAGCATTGCCGATCTTTATGATGAAAGCCATAGTCGGGCGGCTAGGGTCATCCGAATTTCATCTAGCGAACTGTCAAGAGTTAAACACCAGACCTTGACCTCCCCCGCCCGAATCCTCGAAGCCGCCTGAGGCTCGGAGTGATGCTGCGATCTTAACGGACCCCAACAAAGACTTTTCAAGCATTGATCCCTATTCCTGTATATAATCCCTTCACAGAGCCCTTAAAAGGACGTCTTGCTTCAAGAAGCCTCCCGCTTCCTCCCAGGCACGGCAATTGGCACCGAGTGGCCGCAGCTCGGCAAAAGCAGAGGAAGCGTTTTTTTTCCTGTGCACCTTCAGACATGGTTTAGGGTCTAGGGTTTAGGGGAACCCTGAACCGCGATGCCCTAAACCCTAAACCTCCCTTGATCCTTCAGACTCCAAGTGCTGTTCATCCCAAGGTCTAACAAGGGAAGACTGTAGACTACGGGGTTGCGATGCAGTTCGTGTATCCTTCAGCGCGTGCCGAGCCTCCAGCCTTCCTGATTGCAGCTTATGGCGGCTATCCAGCGGAAGGTGTAGACGCAAAAAGAGGAATACCTGCAGTCGACTTCGGTTCCTGCTTCATGGCTGATGTAGTATTCAAAGTGCCTCCATCCTCAGGTGTCACCAGAAGCGAGCTTTTCCAAAGATTGCTGAAGCCTAAACCTACCACCCTAAACCCTGCATCCCTACATCCTGTAGCCTGAAACTTAACTACCGGACATGTTTGAGTATTGGTTTGGGATTTTGTGTCGACACATTTGAGGATGTTGTGGGCTTTTTGGTTTAGGGAAAGGGGCGGTCTGCGACCTAGAGTCTCGCACCCGTCGGAAACCCCTGCGAAGCAGCTTCTGGAAGGGAAAAGTTGATAGCATGAGTAGAAGCAAGAGAAAGCCGAAGAGCAAGCGGAAGAAGCTTGGGTCAGCTCCCCTTTCTGACCAAAGGGTTTGCGGTTTGGGTTGTACGGTCTAGGTTGCAAGCTCTGAACCCTAAGGCGCAGATGATGAAAAAGCTGCTGACGTTCTTCGGGCGTATCGACGAACTTACCGAGCCCACTCTCTCCGAAGAGCAGAAGCAGGCGGCGCTGTGCTTTTATTGGAAGTCGCAGGAAGCAAGAGTACCTTTTTTGAGGTACTTGAAACAGGATCCCACTACTTATGAATTTACGTCATGAATGAGGGTTTACGGGATCCTGCGTTTGAAGACTTAGAGTAGAATTCGCTATAGTTGGTGCCCGCAGGCAAAATCCTTGTTTGCGACAACAATCTGTCTCCCCACACTGCTAACTGCTAAATTCGAAGAACAACATGCACAGCCCCATCCCTCTCAAAGACGAAGCTTAACATGTCGTCGAGATAAAACATGGGCGCATATAGGCATCGTATGTTCACACAATTGCACACACACGCAGAACGCCACACTTAAACTTCAAACCAAGTTGATACGATACCACGCGAGGCATGTGCGCTACCATGTTGACTGCACGAAAATCGAAGCTATGAGAAGTTCTATTCTAGCCGACACCCTTAAGCTAGAAGACGGACCCGAAACTCTAAACAAGTCGCAGACTGCAGCCTCTTGGGAAAAAGAAGCTCCAGAAAAAAAATCTCCAAACCCTAAAAAACTCCAAAAGCCCCAAGCCTCCGGCCTCCTTCTCACAGTTTCGAGGCAGCCTGGGATGGATTTCAAAAGGTACCGGCAGCTTTTGTGGCGTTTATGTACCTGGGCTGTGGAGTACCATAGGGTTCCTTTAAAGGGGTCCTTTTAGGGATCTATAGTAGGGTTCTACGGTATATGGGGCTTAAATAATTACCCCTACTATTTGGGTGGTTCCTTATTATAAGTATGGTATAATGGGCCCCAAAACCCTATTCCAATTTTTATGGCCCTTGTATTACCATGCTTTGATACTTTTTGGGGGGACCTGTTACTTCAAGGAAATCATTATGAAATACAAGTCTCTATTTTTTTCTCCCTGGTTACTTCAAAGCCTAGGAACTCGATGAAGACCATGAAGGGGGCAGACAAGGCAGGGTTCTCTTAGACTTTCTGGCTTTGGGTTTAGGGCACACCGGTTCCTTCCTGAGGGTTTAGGGTTTAAGCTTTTCCTCAGGGTTTCGGGATCTGTATTTCGGGTTCAGGGTGTGTCGTTACAAGGTCTCGGGTTTCGGGATTTGGGTTTAGGGCCAGCTTGGGGCTTAGGCTTGTCCTTACAGGGTTTCGGGTTTGGGGGCTCAGGACTTTCATGGGTGGAGGGTGGGCGGAAGTTTCTGTATTACAACATAATGTTTATTGCAGTCCTTGGGTTTGCTTGGTTGCTGTTTTGAGCTAGTACTTAGATTTTGTAGGATGGGTTGTGAGGATCCCAAGAAACGGGTTAGCGGGGACACTGAGAGTGTCCACACGCACACAACTCTTACGAAGCCCCGATAGAACCCTCGGAGCTCTGATGGCTATGGTTTCATTGGTTATTGGGCTGAGACGCAAATATCTTGTTGGCTGTAAACTCAGCTTTTCAACTTTTGGGATTCGTATAAACAAAACTTAAGCCCTTCGTTCATTCCCAGTGCGAGTGTGCTTGTCGAAACCTAGAAACGCCCTAGGCCACAAACCCTAAACCCTGAGAGTGTCCCCCGCCTCTGGGCAGGTCAACCTCTGCCGTGTCTTCAAACTGGCGAAGGATGTGGCTGCCTCTGGGCAGCCCATGAATTGGCAGGCCCTGTGGACCACACTGGAGGTTAGAGCTTAGGATCATCATCATATCATCGTCACGTTCATAAAATAACTTTTAAGCCAATCAAGCAACAGTGGTGTAGTTATAGTCATCATAGCGTGTGAGAGCCAGAACCATTGCAGTCGTGCTGTTGGAATATTGAGTACAGCCATGCTGAGCCACCTGCAGCAACATCACAATCACTGTCACTCTCGAATCAGCATCACCTTCACCATCCTGACCCTCATAAGTTTGAGAAGCATCTTCGACGGCATCTTAGGCAGGTCCGTTAAGATAGTTGGTAATGCAATGATGTGGCAAAGTAAACTCGTAGCAGCAGCAAAAAAAACAAGTGCCAGCAATCCTTGCAACATGAACAGCAGGCACGCAGGCTCGGCCAAGAGCAAGTTTGGAGCTATGATGCATGATAAACACACCAAGACGGAGATGAAGAACAGGAAACAACTACTGCTTCTAGACTCTTACAGTGGTCGGCCTGACCCGAAACGCTGGACCGTGAAACCTCCTATCTAACAAATTTAGCTCATCAGTCTGTGAGGATTTGGGTTTTGGGGCTTTTGAGGGGTCCTTATAATAGGGATCCTACTATTTAGAGCACTATACTAAATTAGGGGGGGGGGGGGGGGCGACATCGGAGACCGGCACCTGGCTTCTCTGTCGTTTTACTGTTCCTGTTGTGCAGTGTTCCAGGCTCGGCTCTAAGACTCCTAGGTTCAGAGGCTTCGCGTTTGTGTTTTGTAGTAGTAGTAGTGGTAGTAGTAATGGTAGTAGTAGTAGTAGTAGTAGTAGTAGTAGTAGTAGTAGTAGTAGTAGTAGTAGTAGTGGTAGTAGTGGTAGTAGTGGTAGTAGTATTAGGTTTAGCTTTTTATGCCGGGTTGAGGTGAAACTGTGTGCAGATGCTATTATAACTCCGGTCTGGGTTCAAGACAGACCCTTCGTATGAACGCGTAACTGGCTACTACTTGTCTGCGGTTGCAGTGCAAGCGCTAATCAAAGCGGCTGAACACAAGACCCTGTACAGGTCATGCCCATGCTGGATGCGGCTGGTGTCAACACCATGATCACGGATCTGGTGTGGCTTGGTTTAGGGAAAAAGGCTTTGGATTTAATTAGGATGTGCTTCAGGGACGAACTGGACAACTGCTCTTCTTGACATTTGCTGGAGGATATGCAGCCGCATTGAACAGAGCCTGCTCCCCCGAAGTCGAGGGTTTCTCAAGACGGCCGGCTTAAGTATCAGTTGCTTATGAATGATGCGTAGCTGAGGCCTCTGCCAGAAACGAGCCTAAGAACTATTTTCCCACAGGGAGGAAGGCCTTCGAGAAAGCAGACTCCATCCCGTCACTGAGGCAGAAGAACGATCCCATGGTGGAGCCGATACATGACTTACACATGCCTTGGTGCAGCAGGGCTTTGGTTGAGGGCTCTATGAGCCCAAAACTCCTTTTTGCTTATGTGTCTGCGTCTATGAAAGGATGTCCGGATGTGATTAGATTTGAGCTTCATCGTTCGACGTCAATGTTATGTAGCAATTTCCTTTGGGCTCGGAGCTCATTTCCTGGCCAGCTTTCCTCCTGGTGTTCGTACTTGCTCTGTCTCCTGTCGATACCTGTGCTCCTGCTCTCTCTCCCTTCAGCAGCTCATGGAATTGAAGCCACGACCAGCTAAGCATTCCATTGGGCACCGCCGCTGCCTGTGCAAGCCATGTGCCGGTCCACAATCCCAAATTCCAAAGACTGCTCGCTTGCCTTTGCCACTGGCCGTCATTCAAGTGTAGTGCCAGAACAAGCCAGCATCTCTGCTGAAGTGACTGTAGCAACGGTGAAAAGGCTAGCAGTCAAAGGCAGCATCAGATTTCGCACCAACAGTGTGACCGACGGTAGGGACCACTACCACCACTGCCACTACTGCTTCCAGTCCGCTGCCTAGGTTTAACATTTAGCAATGGTGCTGTCCAAAGAAACATTGTAAGCAACGACGAGTAGAGGAACTTGGACTGGAAACCTTTGATCTGGAGACTTCCAGAAAGTACTTGATTGCTACATATCAACTGCGGCACTACATGTTTGACATGGGTGTGGGTTAAGGCTTGAACATGCTCAACCGATGGTGTTCCTTGTCAATACATCTGTTGTTCAGTTCATTGTCCAGTTCTTGATGGTAGAGAACTGTCTCGAATTTTGATGCTTTTTCTCGTTCATGAACTGCTAGCAATCCTCAGTTTATGATTAAGCATCAGAATTTAGTGATTGTTAAAATTGACCATCGATTTTTTCTCCAAGGGCCGCGCCCTTCTCAGCGGACGTGAATGACCCCACCGGAATTTGCGACTATAAGTTAGAGATGCCAGGCTGCATTTGTACAGGGTGTGATTGGGCCTGGGGTTGTGGGATTCGGATTGGTTGAGATTTGGGGATTCAAGGCTGCATGCACATGGGCTCCAGAAGCTCATAAGTTTGTGCCATGAGGGCTCTTTTTCGAGATCTCCAGAGAACCTTACTTGTCTGTGAGATCCGGCCATGCTTATGTGATGTGTGGGATCCTGTTCTAGTTGGCTGCAGGGCTTCGGCTGAACAGCAGTTCGGCTGCTGAACGTCTCAAGGGTTGTCAGAGCAGCAGGCAGGATGAACGGCAGACCGTCCTCAGGATGTGGCAGGCTGTAAAGCACTTGAACAGCTGGATGGCAGGCATTGCAGCGACTTCAGATAGGAGGTTTCGGTTGAGAACTGTGTGTCCAGCAGTACTCGAGGCCCCTTACAACACTTGTGATGCTGCCTCGCTCAGGGACGCGAAGGTGGATTCCGTCGTAGGCCATGGGCGACGCTGTGTGGTTACCTTTGCAGTGGAAAACAAGAGACATTCAACCGTGTAGCCTGTATAGAAATCCGAGGATCCTTTGCAGGATAGGGATGGCTTGAAATTGCCAGCGTAGTCTGGCAAATCCAGCAGCTACGGCTATCATACTCAGTGACAACAGTAGCAGCATCAGCCTCGGTCTCATCATAGCAGTGTCTTCCTGGTCGTCTCCATCATCTTCACAATCACCATCACCCTCGTCTATGCATGCAGAATCACATAGAACTACCGTGACCTAGGGAACCACTTCTCCCACCAACACCATAATCATCCTCAGCCCGTCGCCATCACAAGCGATGTCATTCCATCGTTCTTCCAGCATCTTGGAGTGTTTCACTTGCGCCAGCCTATCATATTTCTCGGGCCCTGCAGATATCACGATCTCCCACTTTATGGCTATTCATTAGGGTTTAGGGGTTTAGGGTTTAGGGGTTTATTACATCGTGGGCGCTGGCCGGCACCTCAGTCCGTGCTGAAAGGGGTTTATTACAGCGAGTTACGGTAGGGCCTGTGGTCGTCAAAGCCTCGGAGCGCTAATTAGACTTGGGTTTTTCGGATTCAGGAGCTCCCGAGGCTGGGATCCGGCTTTGGCGATGGACAGTTCGGGGCCTGGCAATCGGAACGTAGCTTAGGTGACCGTAGTAATTCCCGAAAAAGATGTAAGCTTTGATGAAACCCCAAAACCTAAAAACCTTATCCAGACTATGTGCATCAGGTGTAGGGCACAAATAATGCGCTTGAGACTTGTGGGAGACGGAACGTCCCTGGCCTCTTTGCAGGGCTGGCGGGCTTGCAGCTGGAAGACCTGGTCATCGATGGCGCCTCGATCATTTTTGGGTTTATGGGGTTTACGTAGGGCTTAGGGTTTAGGGTTACAAGTTTTTAGGGTTTAGGGTATAAGGTTCAGGGTAGTTTAGGTTGAGGGTTTAGGGTGTAGAGTTCAAGGTTTAGGGGCGTTTCAGGTTGAGCCTCACGGCTTGTTTTCAGCGACGTCTACAGACGAGACCCGCAAATACCTACATCGCACTTGCCCGGCAACATGCGTTCAGATTGACTACTCTGCATATCCCGCTCTGTAACAGGTCGAAAGCAACAATAAGAGCAACCGACATGGTGAACTCCAGATTTCTTTTTCGAACAGCCTTATGCCCTAAACCTGTGAAGGCCCGGCCCTAAGGCCCTTAGACACCAAACGCTGGGAGCCCGAAGACCCTACATAAACTGATGTGATGAATTCGGAGGGGCGAAAGGTGTCCCATCAGGGCTGTAGGGTTGAGAGTTTAGGATCGTTCGCTTAGGCGGGTTCCACAAGGCCCAGCCTTGCACCAGAACTCTGCAACGTCACAGGTTCTTACGACGAGCAGAGCACTTGGGAAGACACGGCCATCAGGATGGACGTGGGTATGAGGCGCCCAGACCTGCGGCAAGCGAGATCTCTCATTGCATCTTGTTGTTCGGCTCTCCGCGCACGCGTTGCGAGCTTCGGAAGCCATGGTACTGCTTGGCATGATGCAACATGCTGTAGGCAGATCACAGCACGACATAGCGGAACGAGGTTCAGCAGACACCTATTTGACTTCGAAAGGGCCCGAAACAGAGCCAGTTACCTTCGTATTCAAGATCGTTCGTAGTAGTGTGCTTATTATACCCAAAACCCGAAATCGAGGACATAGATCATTTCTTGGCTTGCTCCCCAAGCTGCCTGCGAGGACATGCCCCGTGAACCTGAAGGTCAAAGCATCGGCTGACTCTCAGTGGGTGAGTGCGTACACTTTTACACTTTTGAGGATCATATTATCCTTCATAAAGCTTGCAGAGTACAAATCTTGTGCCGAATGAACTCGGCAAGTAAGGATTTCAAGCAGGACAAGGGCAAATGGTGGGACCCGTGCCAGGAGCTCAGTGAAGAGAACTTGAAGCGTACTTAATCGCGACTTATCAGGGCGTTTGATCCTCTGCACAGTGGGTAGATAAACCATGATTCCATGACGAACCAACACTTGGTCATAACGGAGAGTGTACCGAGGGTTCTCTGGAAATTGTTGACTCGCTTTATTTGGTATTTTGGGGTGTTTACGGTAGGATATGCCGTATCTCTCTCATGCTCCTGCAGACTCGAAGAAGCATCTTGGGTTTCGGTGGGTGCAACACAAACAAGCAGTACACGCCTGCTCTAGAAATTTGCCAAGTACAGGGAAACCCCTAAAAGCAAAATACCAGGCCATGAACCCTGGAACAAGAAGCCGCCCCAAACCTTTGCCTGCAAACAAGGCCTCGGAGTTACCTGGGCTGTCACGACCGAGTTGGAAGTCACATTCCGGCTGCGACCTTAATTTTTTTTATTCGAGTTTAGGATTTTTCAGTTCTCTGGACTTAGGGTTTGGGTCGCGAGACATAGCTGAACTTCAGTAGCAGATAGTACCTTGCAGTAGCAGATACAGGCGGGTGAATGGTGTAAGTTTCCATGGTCCTGAGCTGTCACAGTGCAATACGGCATAGAGCGTCGTTAGTTCTTATTACCTGCAGTTTGTGAAGCTGAGGGCAATGCACGATCATGGACTTGGACTTTGTGAGTACTTGCATGTATTTGTTCTGACACTCCCACCACCAAAAAATTGAAATTAGCATCTCGGCGTGAATCCTAAGCCCAATACGCCATGGTACTAACTACTTTCCCCAAAACCAAGAGATTCAGAGACGGAATACTCAAAGCCACACGCTCGGGGTTCCTTCCTCCCTATCTCAACTCGGGAGCTGACTGTGTTTTCGTGCTTTTTATCTTGGCTGCTTGTGAACGACCCATGGCCTTTTCCGGGCCATGGTAGCTTCTCAAGCCAGCACTCTTCGTTAGGATGCCAGCCGCTCATGTACACGAAAAAGACCTGACGCTGCTTATTCAAGCCCCTGCACTGCATGAATATCAGAGCAGCTGCTAAGGGTGGCCAGCACGCGACTTGCCTGCGGGAAGATGATGAGTTTTTTCGGAGTGTTACTTGAAAGGGTTTCGAAACGGCTGCATGGGCCGTAGTGCAGGCACCCAGAGATGTTCTATATTTGTGTAGGGACTACAATGGGACATTTCACTAAATATGAGGTAGGGTCAGTCGGGGGAGCTTCGGGGATGATGATAAGGATGAAAGTTTACAAGGCTCACTACAAAAACTTTCGAAGTCCATAGAGCATTAGGCTTCAGCCTACATGTTCCCAGCCGAATGACATCCAAGGTCCCGAAGAACCTTTCGCCGGAAGCCAACAAACCTCAAGTCTAGCCGTTTTGGCAACGCAAGGAGCTATCCGCAAACGTGAGACATCGCAAAGAGAGGATCCGTAAGCTTAAATGAGAAGCTAGGGCCCTTGCCCAATCCTTGTTGGGTTTCGGGCGGTTTCTTTGGGTTCCTTCATCTAACCCCAGACTGTCCAGATCACCCTAAGTGGGATTATAATCTACGTTCGAATATTCAGCTTTCGGTAAGGCTAGCCGCATTCCGCAATTAGGAGGTGTTGAGCTCTCTCTGGGATTGCTGTACAGAAACCGCCCAAAACAGCCATAGCAAAGTGATGTCAGCACTTGTATTGCAGACTTTAGGGCTTTTGGGGTCAAGGGTTTAGGATCAAGGCGATAAGATTTCAGCTTGTCCTTAAGGTTTTAGGAGGGGTTTCGGGTTCAAAAGGTGTTAGGGGTGGAGGGTTCAAAAACGGTAAGAGCTGGGCGGAGGCTCCCAAAGACCGACCAGAGATGCTACACTTGGAGGTTGAACCGTTTCCGGGGCCAGGGTTCTGTCAGGACCTGAGAAATAATTAGTAATGCTGTCCTTCAGAACTCCCGAACATATTATGGTACACTACACCCCAAAGCCTTGCTCTAATCATTCGAGCCCTATCTTAGCAGCTGTGCGGTATGTGGCATATTCTACTCAACAAGTCTTTGCACTCCAGCTGGCCGTTTCTAGTGCGTGGCCATCCCAGGCACATTTTCGACACAGTCACTGATGGCCCTTCATAGCCCTCTCAGCTCAGGGTGGCATGGGGCAAAGCCAACTTTGGCAGGCTGTTCGGCGGATGCCTCTCGGCGCGACTGTATGTTTGCGGCCCGCTCCCACCGTGGAGCTCCTGCCGCTGAAGGTACCACCACTTTGATCGAAATGTCATTGCTTTTCTGGTGGCTCGTTCTTATGATTCGAGTAGGCGAGCCGTCAGTCGTTCAGTAAGGTCCCTACATAGCCTCATAGTTTAATCTTTGGCCTCTCTTTGCTCCAAGCAAGGAGCCGCTGAGGCTCCGAATGTTCGGTGAGTTTCAATTCGGGATGGTAGTTAAGTTGGCAGTTTGTGTTTGCCTAGCCGGGCCGTCACTATAAGTTGTAGGTTCAATCGTAGAACCGCATTCTTTGTCATGGACAGCAACAGCAGCAACAACAGCAACAACCAGCGTTAGCATCAACAACAGAGCAGCAGTAGCACCACCACCCAGCAACAACTACTTCTTCTTTCCATTCTGCTTCTGCTTTATTACCACTACTATGACAAGTACGACGCTGTTATCAATCAAGACAGACCATACAAATCAGATTCATGACAACACTGGCTCGTGCATAGAATCGCACTGCCTTGGCTGCAAATCTTGCATTGCATGCCAGCTAAGATGATGACTCCATAAGCGCCGGGCTTGACACTCTGGACATCGAGTTCACAAAGGTTGAGATCACCTTCCTGGACACCTGTCTTGTCCTGGTGTAAAATGAAGCCCTAGCAGACCTAGTGTTCCGAGTCCTGGGTACGCCTGATTCGATGCGCCAGACACTCTAGCTCGTCCAAGAGCACACTCGCTGCGTCTTGCCGCCATCCCGATATTTATGGTTGGTGTGAGCCTTGGTACGGCTTTTTGCGGCCGCCGGTGTTGCTAGATAAGCATCATGCAGACTCCGCACCAATTCTCATGCCGCCTTTCGCAGGCGTTTAAAACATGTTTCGAGTGGCTCATGTTGCCGCCAAGCCCTAGACTTATTTTGGGGCGTGACCAAACCCTGCTGAACAAGGACATTTCGAACTTCCCCGGCGAGGATCTCATCAAGTCAGCCGTGCCTCTCCAGAAATTCGTCGAAGCTGATTGCATAAGGGTCCGACTCCTGGGTGTTTATTTCTGTCAGGTGACGACACGACGTTGGTATACACTACGACCGTATGGTATCTCAATGGACAGCTTCCCCAGCAACAACCCGGCATATGCTTAACCGTGAACATGAACGCCTCCCCCTCCCTACAAGGAACGAACTCCCTTGAGGTTCCCAGGATCTTTCCATCCCCGAACATCTGGGGCCTGTCAAAACTTGCTTACATGCAATTTTTGTGTTGGATATGTTTATGACCCCTCCCCCCTCCCCGCCACATCTAGACTCTCGATGACACCGAGTGCCCCTAGACCCCGAAACCCCCACGAAAGCTGCTGTGATTAGGGCCCCGAGGCCTCCTGCATCCCCACCCATGCCCCAAAAAACCCTAAAGCTCTAAACCCTCAAACCCTAAACCCCCAAGCATCAGACCTTATATGCCTCGCCTGGTGTGTCCGAGTGTGCCCGCCGAAACCCCCCAAAGCCAACAGCCCAGTACAGGGGCGTTTGAAATTCTGTGATTACCTATATCAATATAGTATTTTATACCCCCAAAACCCCGTTCTAATTATTAAGGCCCTATATTATAGAACCCTACTATCAACCCTTATGGATCCCTTTAAAGCAGCCCTATTCTATTTATCAAGGCCCCTATATCAGGTGAATGGAGTCATGAAGAGCAGACTCCGCGACGAGCTGGAAAAGATCCTGGAGCCCTTCGACTGCAAAAGGGAGATCTTCGAACCTCTTGCTTAAGGGGGGAGGGGGGGGGTTAGGGTTTAGGGTTTAGGGTTTAGGGTTTGGTTTAGGGGGAGTTATATAGGGTACTAAATGGAAGGGCTTAGGGTTTAGGGACTTTGTTAGGGTTTAGGGTTTAGGGGTACTAAAAGGACTTCGAACCTCTTGCTTGAGGGGCTCCCAGAGACTCCAATATCCCTTAATTGAGGAATGTTCCTTAAATTATATTGAGGATCCTGCTATAATTTAAGCGAATCTCTTGCTTGAGAGGGGGGGGGGGGGGTACCAAAATCTTAGGGTTCGGGGTTTGGTTTAGGGGATTATATAGGGTACTGAAAGGAAGGGCTTAGGGTTTAGGGCCGTAGAAAGACTTTATTGGGGTATTCAAGGGTTAGGGTACGAAAAGGAAGGGCTTAGGGTTCGGGGTTTAGGTTTATGGAACTAACAGGACTTTGTTAGGGTTTAGGGTTTTTAGGATTGGGGTATTAAAAAGACTTTGTAAGGGTAGCTACAAAGGTTGTACTATTAAAAGCGGTTTCAGAAAACTAGATGTAGTTTAGTTTTTGTTGTCGCGGGGGGGGGGGGGGGGGGTCAAACTATTTGGGGGTCTACAGAACCTGAGAGCCCTTATTTCTGCATGTTCCATGACCGGTCGGCACTCTTTCTAGTTTGAATTAAGATTCCTTGACCATCCTTATAAAGATAGCCTAAGATAGCTGCCAATATACCGATCTCGAACCCTCGTCTAATTGTTACTGCCACACAATTTTGGCTGGGTTCTTAATCAGGAACTTACCTACTTTAGTTTACCGTTTGGGATAGAGGGCCAAGGCTAATTAGAGGATTTAGGGCATGGTGTCAGGGTTCGGGCGGAATTAGTTGAAAGGCTTTTGTCGAGTTTCCCAGTGTAGAGCTGTTGGAAGTCTGATGGGGGGATGCGGCTGCAGGCTGCGAGCACTCGAGGTAGGGCTACTGCAAAGAAAGCCGTCCTCAGTCAACCGGCAGGGCCAGTTCTAGAGAGGATACAACCAGAAAGCACGCACCCCTAGCAATCATCAGCTCAGTCTTTAAAGCACTGTTCCGTG